CTCCCGCCGTGCCTGTGAGCGGCACTCTCCAGTACTACACTCCCGCCGTGCCTGTGAGCGGCACTCTCCAGTACTACACTTCCCGCCGTGCCTGTGAGCGGCACTCTCCAGTACTACACTCCCCCGTGCCTGTGAGCGGCACTCTCCAGTACTACACTCCCGCCGTGCCTGTGAGCGGCACTCTCCAGTACTACACTACACTCCCGCTGTGCCTGTGAGCGGCACTCTCCAGTACTACACCCCGCTGTGCCTGTGTGAGCGGCACTCTGCAGTCTGCAGTACTACACCCGACGTGCCTGTGAGCGGCAACTCCAGTGCGGTACTACGCTCCCGCCGTGCCTGTTAACGGCACCCCAGTACGGTACTACTACGCTCCCCCCGTGCCTGTGAGCGGCACTCCAGTGCGGTTCTACGTTCCCGCCCGTGCCTGTGAGCGGCACTCCAGTGCGGTACTACACTTCTGCCGTGCCTGTGAGCGGCACTCTTCGGTACTACACTCCCGCCGTGCCTGTGAGCTGCACTCCAGTGCGGTACTACTACGCTCCCGCCATGCCTGTGAGCGGCACTCCAGTGCGCTACAACGCTGCTGCCGTGCCTGTGAGCGGCACTCCAGTGCGGTAGTACACTCCCGCCGTGCCTGTGAGCAGCACTCCAATGCGGTACTACACTTCTGCCGTGCCTGTGAGCGGCACTCTCCGAACTACACTCCTGCCGTGCCTGTGAGCGGCACTCCAGTGCGGTACTATGCTCCCACCGTGCTGTGAGCGGCACTCCAGTGCGGTAGTACGTTTCCCGCCGTGCCTGTGAGCAGCACTCCAGTGCGGTACTACACTCCCTGCCGTGCCTGTGAGCGGCACTCTCTGGTACTACACTCCCGCCGTGCCTGTGTGAGCGGCATTCCAGTGCGGTACTAACTCCCGCCGTGCCTGTGAGCGGCAGTCTCCGGTACTACACTCCTGCCGTGCCTGTGAGCGGCACTCTCCGGTACTACACTCCCGCCGTGCCTAGTGAGCGGCACTCCAGTGCGGTACTACACTCCCGCCGTGCCTGTGAGTGGCACTCTCCAGTACTACACTCCCGCCGTGCCTGTGAGCGGCACTCTCCAGTACTACACTCCCGCCGTGCCTGTGAGCGCCACTCTCCAGTACTACACTCCCGCCGCGCCTGTGAGCGGCACTCTCCAGTACTACATTCCCGCCGTGCCTGTGAGCGACAATCCAGTGCGGTACTACACTCCTGCCGTGCCTGTGAGCGGAACTCTCCAGTACTACACTCCCACCGTGCCTGTGAGCAGCACTCTCCGGTACTACACTCACGCCGTGCCTGTGAGCGGCACTCCAGTGTTGTACTACACTCCTGCCATGGCTGTGAGCGGCACTCTCCGAAACTACACTCCCGCCGTGCCTGCCTGTGAGCGGCACTCTCCAGTACTACACTCCCGCCGTGCCTGTGAGCGGCACTCTCCAGTACTACACTCCCGCCGTGCCTGTGAGCGGCACTCTCCAGTACTACACTCCCGCCGTGCCTGTGAGCGGCACTCTCCAGTACTACACTCCCGCCGTGCCTGTGAGCGGCACTCTCCAGTACTACACACTCCCGCCGTGCCTGTGAGCGGCACTCTCCAGTACTACACTCCCGCCTTGCCTGTGAGCGGCACTCCAGTGCGGAACTACACTCCCGCCGAGCCTGTGAGCGGCACTCTCCAGTACTACACTCCCCGCTGTGCCTGTGAGCGGCACTCTGCAGTACTACACTCCCGACGTGCCTGTGAGCGGCACTCCAGTGCGGTACTACGTTCCCACGGTGCCTGTGCCTGTGAGCGGCACTCCAGTGCGGTACTACTACGCTCCCACGGTGCCTGTGAGCGGCACCTCCAGTGCGGTACTACGTTCCCGCCGTGCCTGTGAGCGGCACTCCAGTGCGGTACTACACTCCCGCCGTGCCTGTGAGCTGCACTCCAGTGCGGTACTACGCTCCCGCCATGCCTGTGAGCGGCACTCCAGTGCGCTACAACGCTCCTGCCGTGTGAGCGGCGGCACTCCAGTGCGGTAGTACACTCCCGCCGTGCCTGTGAGAGCGGCACTCCAGTGCGGTACTATGCTCCCACCGTGCCTGTGAGCAGCACTCCAGTGCGGTACTACGTTTCTGCCGTGCCTGCCTGTGAGCAGCACTCCAATGCGGTACTACACTTCTGCCGTGCCTGTGAGCGGCACTCTCCGAACTACACTCCTGCCGTGCCTGTGAGCGGCACTCCAGTGCGGTACTATGCTCCCACCGTGCCTGGAGAGGCACTTCAGTGCGGTACTATGCTCCCGCCGTGCCTGTGAGCGGCACTTCAGTGCGGTACTACACTCCTGCCGTGCCTGTGAGCGGCACTCACCGGGTACTACACTGCCGCCGTGCCTGTGAGCGGCACTCCAGTGCGGTACAAACTCACGCCGTGCCTGTGAGCGGCAGTCTCCGGTACTACACTCCCGCCGTGCCTGTGAGCGGCACTCTCCGGTACTACACTCCCGCCGTGCCTGTGAGCAGCACTCTCCAGTACTACACTCCCGCCATGCCTGTGAGCGGCACTCTCCGGTACTACACTCCCGCCGTGCCTGTGAGCGGCACTCCAGTGCGGTACTACACTCCCGCCGTGCCGGTGAGCGGCACTCTCCAGTACTACACTCCCGCCATGCCTGTAAGCGGCACTCCAGTGCGGTACTACACTCCCGCCGTGTCTGTGAGTGACACTCCAGTGCGGGACTACCACTACACTCCCGCCGTGCCTGTGAGCGGCACTCTCCGGTACTACAGTCCCACCATGCCTGTGAGCGCGACACTCCAGTGCGGTACTACACTCCCGCCGTGCCTGTGAGCGGCACTCTCCAGTATTACACTCCCGCCGTGCATGTGAGCAGCACTCCAGTGCGGTACTACACTCCCGCCGTGCCTGTGAGCGGCACTGTCCGGTACTACAGTCCCACCGTGCCTGTGAGCGACACTCCAGTGCGGTACTACACTTCCGCCGTGCCTGTGAGCGGAACTCTCCAGTACTACACTCCCACCGTGCCTGTGAGCTGCACTCTCCGGTACTACACTCACGCCGTGCCTGTGAGCGGCACTCTCCGGTACTACACTCACGCCGTGCCTGTGAGCGGCACTCTCTGGTACTACACTCACGCCGCGCCTGTGAGCGGCACTCCAGTGTTGTACTACACTCCCGCCGTGGCTGTGAGCGGCACTCTCTAGTACTACACTCCCACCGTGCCTGTGAGCGGCACTCCAGTGCGGTACTACACTCCCGCCGTGTCTGTGAGTGACACTCCAGTGCGGGACTACACTCCCGCCGTGCCTGTGAGCGGAACTCTCCAGTACTACACTCCCACCGTGCCCGTGAGCGGCACTCTCCGGTACTACACTCACGCCGTGCCTGTGAGCGGCACTCTCTGGTACTACACTCACGCCGTGCCTGTGAGCGGCACTCCAGTGTGTTGTACTACACTCCCGCCGTGGCTGTGAGCGGCACTCTCTAGTACTACACTCCCACCGTGCCTGTGAGCGGCACTCTCCGATACTATACTCCCGCCATGCCTGTGAGCAGCACTCTCCAGTTGTCAGGAATGGACTTGCCAGTAATGGTGGGACTCACCTGCCTTGTGGCCTGCAGTACCAGGGCTGGCCAGCGGGTGCTCTCAGCAATCAGAGACTCAACCCTGCAGTCAGCCAAAACACCTGAGGCTGATTGCAGGTGTATTTAAGGGATGGCCAGACCTGCAGTCTGCGCCTTGGTGTGTGTTTTTTCTATGGGCCCCTGTATCTTGTTACCTGCATTCCTGTTCCTGTCTGACTGATTCGTTGCCGACCCTGCCTGATCCGGACCTCTGCTGACTTCTCCTGTTTGATCCCTGGCTTGTGACCCCGACCATTCTCTGCCTGACCCCCTGTACCTACCTGCCCGTTAGTTGCTGTACCCGGCTCGTGACCTGACTACTCTCTCTGCCTGCTCCTCCTGTTCCTACCTGCCCGATTGTTATTGACCCGGCCTGCCTGACGACGCTTGCATTGTATGTATTGTTATCTGTGGGTGGTTTGGTTCGTAGTTTGCACGGTGTTATGTTTTAGTATTGCACTGCATCTATGTATTGGAGCCCTAACATTACACCAAGGCCAATCCTGACCAGAAGTGGCTGCACAGGGAAGCCATCTTGGCTTGTTGCTGGGAAGGATGGATCTTGACGAGGTTGTGTATTTGTCGCTGCTGGTTTTTGATGACAGAGAATATGCTTATCAGACTCTGAGGGAGTATACCCGGGATCAACTGCTAGAATGTATACGTATCGCTCATTTTCTAGTAGATCAGGGCACAGAGTTCTCTGAGGTACAACCTTTGATTCAGGTTTGTGTAGTTGGCTTCATCTGGTACCCCTGAAAGCAGGAATGACTTTTTGCCACCATTTAGTGCAGACCAGATAGAGTCCCTGGTATGGTTATTAGAGGATGATGTGGATTGCTTCTTGGAGCATTATGCTGCATGTTCACCACAGGTATTAAGGGATTGTATAAATGCAGTGCAGTCTTTGATCAGACAGGCTTTGTGTAAGCTCAGTTTTGTTCAACCCATACTGCAGACATGGTTAGACTTGTTGCACCCAGCCTCAGTCAGCTTGCAACATCATTCCTCTGCTCGAGGCGCTCTTCCTGCATCCCCGACAGCACCCCCAGTGACTGCCCAGTATACTCTAACTACCACATACCAGTCCCCTGCTCCCACTCGCTGCACCTATCATTTCTTTGGCCCTGTGGAGAGGTCCTCTGTGGCGGCTGCTCCCTCCTCTGTTCCATCTTCCAGCTCTTCTCTGTCCTCAGCTGCTCCATTCGTTTGCAGACCTGCGTTTACTTGCAGTGCTCCAGTAGTTAAAACCAGAAAAAAAGCGAAAATTCTTTTCAACCAGTACCATCCTGCCAGTATCCAAACCGGTGAGCCTGCCGTCTGAGAACCTGCCTTCCGTGGTTCAGCCTGGTGCCTCGGCACCCGCACTTCAGCCTGATGTCCCTACCCAGCCTGATGTCCCTATCCAACCTTATGAACTGATCCAGCCTGATGATCCTATCACGCCTGATGACCCAGTGCCCGCTGTCATACCTGGTGACCCGATGCCGCTGTCGAGCCAGACGATCCAATGCCTGATGACCCAGTGCCCGCTGTCATGCCTGGTGACCCGATGCCCGCTGTCGAGCCAGACGATCCGGTACCTGATGACCCGGTGCCCGCTGTCGTGCCAATTGACTCAAAGCCCACTGTCGTGCCTGGTGACTCGGTGCCCACTGCCTTGCCAGATGACGCGATGCCTGCTGGCGAGCCAAATGACCTGATGCCTAGTGACCCAGTGCCCGCTGTCATACCTGGTGACCCGATGCCCGCTGTCGAGCCAGACAATCCAATGCCTGATGACCCAGTGCCCGCTGTCATGCCTGGTGACCCGATGCCCGCTGTCGAGCCAGACGATCCGGTACCTGATGACCCGGTGCCCGCTGTCGTGCCAATTGACTCAGAGCCCACTGTCGTGCCTGGTGACTCGGTGCCCACTGCCTTGCCAGATGACGCGGTGCCTGCTGGCAAGCCAAATGACCTGATGCCTAGTGACCCAGTGGCCGCTGTCATACCTGGTGACCCGATGCCCGCTGTCGAGCCAGACACAATCCAATGCCTGATGACCCAGTGCCCGCTGTCATGCCTGGTGACCCGATGCCCGCTGTCAAGCCAGACGATCCAATGCCTGATGACCCAGTGCCCGCTGTCATGCCTGGTGACCGGATGCCCGCTGTGTCGAGCCAGACGATCCAGCGCCAGATGACCCGGTGCCTGCTGTCGAGCCAGACAATCCGGTACCTGATGACCCAGTGCCCGCTGTCGTGCCAATTGACTCAGAGCCCACTGTCGTGCCTGGTGACTCGGTGCCCACTGCCTTGCCAGATGACGTGGTGCCCGCTGTCGAGCCAAATGACCTGATGCCTGGTGACCCGATGCCCGCTGTCGAGCCAGACGATCCAATGTCTGACCCAGTGCCCGCGGTCATGCCAGTTGACTCGGAACCCACTGTCGTGCCTGGTGACTCGGTGCCCACTGCCTTGCCAGATGACGTGGTGCCCGCTGGCGAGCCAAATGACCTGATGCCTGGTGACCCGATGCCCGCTGTTGTGCCTGACGACCCGGCGCCCCGCCGCTCCGCCTGGGGGCCCGCCGCCCCTCCTGGGGGCCCTGCGCCCGCCGCTCTGCCTGGGGGCCCGGCGCCTGCCGCTCCGTCTGGGGGCCCGGCGCCCGCCGCTCCGCCCGGGGGCCCGGCGCCCGCCTCTCCGCCCGGGACCCGGTGCCTGCCGCCCTGCCTGAGGGCCTGCCGCTCCGCCTGGGGGCCCGGCGCCCCTCCTGGGGGCCCTGTGCCTGCCGCCGCTCCTCCTGGGGGCCCTGTGCCTGCCGCTCTCCTGGGGGCCCGGTGCCTGTCGCTCCACCTGGGGGCCCGGTGCCTGTCGCTCCACCTGGGGGCCCGGTGCCTGTCGCTCCACCTGGGGGCCGGTGCCTGCCGCCCCGCCTGGGGGCCCTGTGCCTGTTGCTCCTCCTGGGCCGCTGCCCAGAGTCCAGCCCGATGTGCCGCTGCACGGAGTCCAGCCCGATGTGCCGCTGCACGGAGTCCAGCCCGATGTGCCGCTGCACGGAGTCCAGCCCGATGTGCCGCTGCCCGGAGTCCAGCCCGATGTGCCGCTGCCCGGAGTCCAGCCCGATGTGCCGCTGCCCGGAGTCCAGCCCGATGTGCCTCTGCCCGGAGTCCAGCCCGATGTGCCAGTCTTTGATATCCCGCCAGTTACCAAGACCCAGGCGGTGGAACATTTTGCCCAGCTAGGACTGTTTGGAGCGTCCTGAGGCCGCTCCTTGAGGGGGGGGGGGTACTGTCAGGAATGGACTTGCTAGTAATGGTGGGAGATATTGTTTTATTTTAGAAAAACGCACAACCAACAAACATTTTCTACAAAAGTATAAAAATAAATAAATAAATAAATAACATAACAACATCACATTCCATCATGTGCAAACATAAAAGTAAACATTTCAAAGCCATACTAGAGTCCTTATGGCTGAAGCAATATGTACGCAAGGCCCTTACAGCCGGAAACAAAGATTTGCATTCACGGCTTTTATGGCCTAGAAAACAAAACGTGGCCTTTATGGCCCAATAAATCTGCATATATGGCCTTTACGGCCTAATAAGAAAGCACTTATGGCCGAATACAATAGCATATGTAGCCTACATGGCCTATAGTCAAACACTGTACAAAACATCACACAATACAACATTACTTAGACTGAGGAACATAGATCTTCGGGTCCATGTAGCCTTTCTTCAAAAAAATCATCTCTGAAAATCTAAGGGAGGGTGGAAGGAGAAAGAAAACAGGATAGTTTACCAACATCCAGAGATCAATAGGTGGCAACTACAGGCCTGATATTCCTTCACGCCTTTATCCAGACCCCTCGCCGCCACCTGTCTCTCTCAAGACCCCAAACTTTCCCCACCTCACCAAGAATGCCACGCACCACCTCCGGGACAGGAAGGACTTTCTTTCCGTATGGACACTTGGCACCGCGCATTCCACGTGAAATACCGGACAACTAGGCTAACTAAATAAAGAGTGTGTCCAAATCAAAACCCCGGCGATCTTGCAATGCTCCATATACCCACTCTGCATAAGACATGCAGTGCAAGAAAGGAACACCCAGAGCACTCCCCACCTCTTTGTAGACTTCAACATTGAAGGGACACTGAAGCAGGAAGTGGTCCATAGTTTCCACTTCACCCCGACACTCCTCTCTCGGACAACCGCAGTCATCCAGAGAGAGGTACTTCAAGTTTCCCCTCACGAAGAGTCTACCGTGAAAACCGAGCCAGGCCTGGTCCCTAAACTTGAAGGGAATCCGCTCAGAATTTAATAAGCGTAAGCCCTCCCGCATAATATGGCCCGGGTAATCCCTCAAGGCCAGCGGCGCATGACAAACAACGGACACAATCCTCTCACCCAGGAGCTTCCTAGGGAGGGACTTAATATCCTCCGCCGTCACACGCCACTGCCTAAGTATTTTCAGGCTCGGGGCAACATAAGTCGGGAGTTCACCGTGCTTAACCCTTAGGCTTTTCACTAGCCCACCACTCTCCCAGCAACTCAGAAAAGGCCTAAACCAGTTCCGGAAGAGGCTTACCCATGCAGGAGGTCTCTCTGCCAGCATGTTACCAAAATTGTGCTTCAAAAACACCAGAGAGAAGAAGACTACCGGGTTGACCATACCTAAGCCACCCTTCCTCCTGGATAGGTAAGTCACATCTCCCTTCACAAGGTTCAGTCTGCTTCCCCATAACAGCTGGAAAAAGCAACTGTAGATCCTCATATAAAGAGACTCTGGCAAGATGCAAACTGTGCTGACATACAAAAATATGGGGATCAGGTAAGTTTTCATCAGATCAACCCTTTCCCTCAAGGAGAGCCGCCACCCCTTCCAGCATTTCACCTTGACTTCGGCATTGGTCAGCCTGGCCTCCTCCCAATTCGATTTGCCATAATCGGCCATGCCAAATTCAATGCCTAATACTTTGACGGACTGCTGAGGCACAGGGAAAGCGTCCGGGAGCACAAAGCCCTCGCCCTCCACACCTAACCAAAGGACTTCAGACTTGTCCTGATTGATCTTGGACCCCGATGCCTCGGAATACTGCTCTCTCTCTGAGACAACCACCTGCGCCTCCACAGCCCCAGAGACAAAGACAGAAACGTCATCAGCGTAGGCAATGACCCTCAGGGGTGGCTCACCAGCAACACCCACCGGTACCCCGCACAACGCTCCACAGTCCAGCCTCCTTACGAAGGGGTCGACCACAAAGACGTATAGCAGAGGACTCAGCGGGCATCCCTGGCGCACCCCAGAGCCAACCCCAAAGGGCTGCCCAATCCAACTGTTCACCAGCATGAAGCTCTCCGCCTCTCTATACAATGTCTTGAGCCAGCCAATGAACCCCCCCTCCAGGCCATACCTGTCAAGAAGATGCCAAAGGTACTCATGACTAACCCGATCAAAAGCCTTGGCCTGATCCAATGTCAGCAAATACTTTCCCCAGCCTTCAGCCCTGCACCGCTCCAGAACCTCCCGGACAGCTAACACCGCTGTGAAGGTGCTCCTGCCCTGGACCGAGTAGTGCTGCCGACCGGAAAGCAGCGTGTCTGCGACTGACGCCAGGCGCCAGAAAAGAATCTTTGCCAGAATCTTTCTATCAACATTGAGAAGACTGATGGGGCGCCATTTCTCAATCATTGAAGGGTCCTTACCCTTTGACAGCAGGATAACAGCAGACTTTCTCATGGAGGGAGGGAGTGAACCTTCTTGCAGACAGCAGTTAAATACCTCCGCGAGATGGGGTGCCAAGCTAGTCTTGAAAGATTTATAAAATTCTGCCGTAAAACCATCTGGCCCAGGTGTTTTCTTAATTGCCAGACTGTCTATGGCTTTGGCTACCTCTGCCTCTGTTATCTCGTCCATCAAACTTGGAAGCGGGACGTCACTCCCCAGACCCGGTGTAGAGTCCAGAAAACTTAACATCCTCTCCCGGTCGAGGTGCTTCTTCCCCAGAAGATCTCTATAAAAAGGACCTCGAGACCTCCAGAATCCCTGACCTGGATTTTGTCAGGGAACCTGTACTATCAGGCCTAAGACCGTTTTAATCGCTGCGCTTTGTCTGCAATTCTGGTAAGGGTCGGGCAAGTGATATTTCCTGTAATCCCTCTCCAGAACCAAAGAAGCGTGCCGGTCATACTGATGCTTCCTAAGAAGGAGTTTCACCTCCGCAATCGCCCCAGGATCACCACCAACCGAGACGAGGCGGTCAAGTCTCCTCCGCAGCCGCTGGTAGGCAACATATCTATCAAGTTGTACCTTTTTACCTACGGCCCTGAAAAACCCACTGGTTCGCTTTTTAGTGAGCTCCCACCACTCCGTCTTACTGCTGCAGAAATCCAGAAGGGTCACCTGAGCCTGGAAAAATTCCTCAAAGGATTGTCTCACACTCTCATCATCCAGCAAGGCCAAATTCATCTTCCAGATGCCCCTTCCTTTCAGCGGCATATCTGAAACATTCAAGATCACAGATAGCATAAGGTGATCGGAAAATTCAACCGCCCGACACACGGGTGCCGAGAAGGCAGAGTTCCCCTTTAAAAAAAAAAACCTATCTATCCTGCTCTCACTCCTACCTCGCCTAAAGGAGAAGCCCGTGCTGTCTGGGCTGCACTTAACTAGTGCATCTACCAGACCTGCATCCCTATCGCATTAAGAAAAACGCTATCATAGCCCAACCTGTCAGTGAAGCCTCTCCTGTCTTTGGGCCTAGTGATGGTGTTAAAATCACCTCCAAAGACAACTTGCCGGGCCGTAAAAAGGAAAGGCCTAATCTTTGTGAAAAGGCATTTCCTTTCCCACTTGGACTGCGGGCCATATATATTGATTAAACGCAGGTCATGCCCCCTCACAGAGACGTCCAGGACCATGCACCTTCCGATCTCTACCTCAATAATCCGCCGACACGTTACCATACCAGTAAAAAGCACTGCAACCCCACTGTAAGGCTCAGCCGCAAGAGACCAAAA